GGCCCAATGTTAACGTATCCCTCAGGAAAAACGTTAAAGAAGAAAAGTCAAACTAGCACCAAGATTGGTCTAGTTAGACTTTGGTCATACCCAGTTTGAGGCCAAGGTCGGGCCTCAGCCTGCATGGACTCACTGGTATGGTGGTTATAGGGTAGAACTGCGCCTTACCCTCTTCTCCCAGGAGAAATATGTAAAGCTTGGTCCCTGGCATGCATTTAATTCATTTATTTATTTATTTTGAAAGTGGAACTCGACGAGTTGGTAGCCCTAACTCGTCGAGTATAGGGCATATTATGCGCGAGGTTTGAGTTATCTACTCGATGATTCAAGAGCCCTCGACTCGACGAGTAGCTCAGCTAGAGTGAAACCCTAATTTTGGGTTCTTGCACTTTTATTTAAGCTCCTTAACCCCCACCCTTAGGCCTTATTTCCAGCCTCCTTGTCCCAAACCCTAATCCACGAAACCCTAGAGCTTTCTTTGAGAGTGTGAGCCATTTTAAGTGATATTTGTGTGCTTTTGAAGGTTGTGGAAGAAGAAGAAGATAGAGGGCTCAAGAGGGGAAGAGTAGATCCAGAAACTACATTCCATTTGCTACCTTTTATGGTAATCAAGCTTCTATCTTGGCTATTGGTTCATTAGATCTCTTTATGTCCTCTTAATGTGGGTTGTTGGTCCAAGAATGAGTTAGGAGGCACGTGCCTCTTGATCAGGTATAAAAGAACCCTTCTTCCCAACGGAAAAGGGGAATGGACTCTTTTTCTCTCATACATTCTCTATCTTCTCTCAAAATCATTTCTAACTTGATCATCAGAGCTTCGTCCTTAGAACTGATGGGTTTTATACATACCAAACAATCCTATGTGTGCATGCAACCCTAATTTGAGGATCTATGTTTTTCACTATTAGACATACAAGCATTGAACACAAAAACTAGAAAACCCTAGGAGGCATGTGTAATTTTTGAAATTAACATATAATTAGGGTTAAGATACATACCTTGATTGTTATATTGTAATAACAATCAAATCCTTGAAGATCTTGAACTTTAAAATGATTTATAATTTGTACTATCGTTGAATTAGAACTAGACAATATATAGTAAATCGATAGAAATATGGAACAAAAAAATAACGTTTAAGAATCGAAATTAAAAAATGTTTTTATTATGTGAGTAATTTGTGGATAATCATCCATGTTTAAGGATCAAAAATGAAAAAAACGATTTTGGTATGTGCGTAATCTATGGATAATCACCCACAGAAAAAACAACATTGAAGGATAAAAACGAGTTTGTTTTGTGGGTAATCCGTGGCAAATCACCCACGGATTATCCATCTACCAGAATCCTTTTTTCAAATGTTGACCATTAAATGTTGTTCTATTCATCTAATCTTTTACAAAACTTAATCAATTAAATTATTGACTTGTTTGTTCAACTTATTTCACAAATATACTTAAACATACAAAAATACTTTTATACATGTATATATACCAGATAGTTCACTATACTCCTTTAATTCATCAACTTAGTAAATTCATACATGCATGTGTACGTATATGTATATACTAAATTGATTAAAAAAAATACAATTATATATTAAGTTATGTTAAGCATGAAACGAAAAAACAATGTTTAAAGATCATAAAATGAAAAAACTATTTTGGTATGTGGGTAATCTGTGGATAATCACCCACAGATTTTCCACAACAATGAAAAGTTTTTCCATTTTTGATCATTTAACGTTGTTATTTTTGTTTTATCATTTATAATGTATAATAAATCGATGTGTTTCTTTGTTTTATCACCATATTACAAACATACATGCATACATACTTAATATATAAATGTATCTTTTGTTTTATTAACTTATTATTCATATACATATGTATATTTATGGGTATAATAAGTTGATGAAGCAAAGAAATGCATTGATTTAGTAAATTGATATAAATATGGAACGAAAAAAAAACGTTGAAGGATCGAAAATGGAAAAACGGTTTTCTTTTGTGGGTAATCCGTGGCAAATCACCCACGGACAAGAATCAATTTTTTAATTTTTGACCATTAAATGTTGTTCTATTCGTCTAATCTTTTACAAAACTTAATAAATTAATGTATTGACTTGTTTGTTTGACTTATTTCACAAATGCACTTAAACATACAGAAATACCTTTATACATGTATACATAACATATAATTCAGTATACTCCTTTAATGCATCAACTTAGTAAACTCATATATGCATGTGAATGTATACGTATCTACTAAATTGATAAAACAAAGAAATACAATGATTTATTAAATTATGTTAAGCATAGAACGAAAACGTTTAAGGGTCAAAAAAATGAAAAAACAATTTTGGTGTGTGGGTAATCTGTGGATAATCACCCACAGATTTCCCACAACAATAAATATTTTTTTTCCATTTTTGACCATTTAACGTTGTTGTCTTTGTTTTTATCATTTATAATGTATAATAAATCGATGTATTTCTTTGTTTTATCACCATATTATAAACATACATGCATACATACTTAATGCATAAATGTATCTTTTGTTTTATCAACTTATTATTCACATACATATGTACGTATATGGGTATAAGAAGTTGATGAAACAAATAAATGCATTGATTTAGTAAATTGATATAAATATGAAACGAAAAAACAACGTTGAAGGTTCGAAAATGGAAAAACAATTCTGTTTTGTGGGTAATCCGTGATAAATCACCCGCGGATTATCCACGGACAAGAACCTTTTTTTCAATTTTTAACAATTAAATGTTGTTATATTCATCCAATCTTTTACAAAACATAATCAATTGATGTATTGACTTGTTTGTTCAACCTATTTCACAAATAAACTTAAACATACATAAATACTTTTATACATACATACTTACTTAATATTTCAGTATACTCCATTTTTTCATCAACTTAGTAAACTCATACATTCATGTGTATGATATGTATCTAATAAATTGAAAAAAAAAAACAAAAAAATACACTGATTTATTAAGTTATGTTTTTTTTTTTTTTTTTTGAAAGGGAACTTCGCTAACGAGGGTTTCCGGGCCAGCTTTCGCGCACCGACTAATCCCCCGCTGTAAACATAAAGCTTTGTCTCATGCCCTGGAGTCACTGCATGCGAAACTCCATGGCCACAAAGGCTGAGTGGTGCCAGGATTTGAACATGGGTCAATAGGTTATCCACCATATCTTCCACATGCCTTACCAAATCACCACAACCCAAGTGGTTAAGTTATGTTAAGCATGGAATGAAAAATACAACGTTTGAGGGTCGAAAAAAAAAACCGATTATGGTATATGGGTAATCTGTGGATAATTACCCACGTCTTTCCCACAACAATAAATAATTTTTTCCATTTTTGACCATTTAACGTTATTGTCTTTGTTTTATCATTTATAATGTTTAATAGATCAGTGTATTCTTTGTTTTATCAACTTATTATACACATATATGCATACAAACTTTATAAACTAATGTATCATTTATTTTTCAACTTATTATTCACACATATATGTACATGGATGAGTATAATAAGTTGATGAAAAAAATAAATGCATTGATTTAGTAAAACGATAGAAATATGGAACTAAAAAACAACATTTAAGGGATGAAAATGAAAAAAAAAAAAAACAATGTTTTTATGTGGGTAATCTGTGGAAAATCACTCACGCTATACCCGCAGACCAGAAGTGTTTCTTCATTTTTCAAAATCTGTGGGTAAGCCGTGGGTGATGACGATATTGTTCCCACAGATTTTCCACAGATTTCTTTTTGTGGGTAATCTGTGTGTAATCCGTAAGAAATATTTTGTAAATTAGGGTTTTTTAAGTCGTGGAAAATCTGTGGCAAATGTGTGGGTAATTTTCGTGGGTGAAGGTCCATTGTGTAGTAGTGTTCCTTTATAGTTTGACGAACATGTTTGGTTGATGGTTTTATTATTATGAAAATAAATTTTTTGATCTTGAATTTTAAGACGTTACACTTATTTTATATATTATTTTAATTTAATATAATATTATTTTTGTAAATTTTACTTTAGATATATAATAACATGTCATAGCAAATCAATCCTTGCAAATGACAAAATAAATAAATAAAAAATAAAATTAAAAAAGTATGATAAATCTGTGGCAGAAAAAACCTAATGACAAAAATTAGGGGTGTTGATCGGGTAAAATTTTCGGGTTTCGGGTAATTCGGGTTTTTCATATAAAAAAAATTACATGTTACCCTACCCAAATTAAATTCGGGTAATGGGTCGAGTAAGGGTAATTCGGGTATTACCCGATTTTTAATTTTTAATGGCACCTAAAAATAAATGTAATGAAATAAGTATGTCGTGTTAAACTTTGAAAATTGAGATTTTTTACTCAATAAAATTTAAGATATCAAGTATTCTTTCCAAACTTTCAATCTTGGGTTGAATTGTTTGGTTTTTTTTTTTTTTTTTCTCTTTTTCTTGTGGAACTTGATCATTGGTTGAATTGTCAACTTCAATCGTCTCATCTTTTACTTCAACATAATCATCCATTAGTAACGAATACCAACAAAGAGCGAACGAGGTATGAGATTTTTTTGACGTGCGGAAAATAGAACGAGCCTCAACGAGGGAAATTGGGATTTGACAATTGGGAATGACAGATAAAATCATAAAGGGACATTATTTGTTATATATATTTCGGGTAATCGGGTATACCCGAAACCCAAACAATTTACCCTTTATCCTACCCGGAAAAAATTCGGATTACCCACTTACCCGAAAAAATTAACCCGATACCCGATTTATCCGACCCAATTTATCTGATACCCGAAAAAATCGGATGGATAATTCAAGTAACGGGTATTTTTGAGAGGCCAAAAATGACATCACTAGTACTAAACTTTTTAAACCTTATTCAAATGTTTTAGGAAACCACGTGGACGAAAAGAGACAGCAAATTAAGACCCGACCGAACTTCAAATGGGCCTATTATTTTTAGTTTCCACTTTCCAAGACGCGTATTTTCGTCCTTTTCATGGTGGAAATAGAACCCCACGCCATTATTATTTTATTTTCCCATTTTCATCACTTCACTAAGCACAATTCAATTTCAACTCCAGTTTCAAGAATTTATCAATGGGTGCCTGTAGAAAGCTTCAAGGTGAGATCGATCGAGTTCTAAAGAAAGTTCAAGAAAGTGTTGATGTTTTCGACAGCATATGGAGCAAGGTATGCGTAAATTTATATATTTTTCTTTAAATTACTGACGTTTCTGGTTGTTGTTGTTTAATCTGAATGCTGAAGGTTTAATTTTCGCAAGCTTTAATTTTTTGTATTTTAGGTTTACGATACTGAAAATGCCAATCAAAAGGAGAAGTTTGAAGCCGACTTGAAAAAGGAGATTAAGAAACTAAAAAGATTCAGAGATCAGATTAACACATGGATACATTTCAGCGGGATCAAGGATAAGCAGGTCATTTAAGTTCCCCCTTTGTATTTGTTTGTTCTTGCACTTGACTCGTGATGAATACCTTTCCTTGTGTCACAAATATGTCACAATCGCAGGTTACCTAGTGTAGCTATATAGTCGCCATATGAAACAAATTTTGCTCTATGTGCACTCTTGTTGCTTACTTTGAAAGGAATATTGATAAAAAAGATATGATGAGTTTACACTGTGTTCCTCACTAAGAGATTGGTCAGAAAAAACAAGATGCTTTGTATCTTCCTTATTGACATGGTTAGTTCCTTCTATGAGCAGGCTCTGATGGATGCTTGCAAGATTATTGAGCGAGAATTGGAACGATTCAGGATTTTTGAAGAGACAAAGACAATCTCTTTCTCTAAGGAAGGAGTGGGACAGCAGCCTAAAACGGTAGCTATGGGATATCTTTTTGCATATGATACAGAAACTTGGCATTCATGGAAATCACCATTTGTCATTGTAAACTTTATCTCTTGTAGGATCCAGCCAAGTCAGAGACTAGAGATTGGTTGAACAATACGGTATGAAACTATGCTACTGATTGTTGTATGTGGTTTTAAATTAAGCAAATTAACTGCTTAGAATGGTCAAAGTTGAGAGGAGTGACTTGGATTGGAACAAAGCTATTTTTTAATTTTTTATTTTTTATCTAGAAAGTGAAATTAAAAGTCCAGGGACTTGGATGATGGAACAGATGGAAAAGTTTGTCGCTATTTCATGACGTTAACAATAAATTTTAAGACGTCTTTCACTCTTCCTATAATGGCACTTATTAACAACAATGTCACAAGAATTTATATCTTATTTAAAATGAGAGGTGTTATGGCTTAGAAATTCGGTAAACATATAAACAGATTTCCACCCTGTTTCGTGGATGATCAACTAAAATAGAGCAAATACTTAGTTTTGTTGGGATTGTGGACCATTTTCATGTTTTGTTTATCCCATTTCAATGAGATTGAAGACATGTCCAATTCAGATGACGGCATGCTCCATTGAAACATTTATTTCGATATATGGAATTCTACTTTTAATTTCATATTTATCGCCTTACTTGATGCTACCCCTGATCTCCTTTATATTGATTGGGTCTTTCACTTGAAAATTGTTACGTATGCATCTACAGTGCTTCCATTGTTTGAAAAGGTTAAAGTCAATATTCATTGCTACAAACACTTGTAGATAGTTGTGATATTTACTTCAGCATATTAATTTTCCTTTAAATGTGAAACCTACGATATATTTGAAACTCCTTAAGCTTACTATGTGAGACAGATTGAATACGAGTTAGTATATGCTAATTGCCCTTAACTATAAATCAACTCTGCAGGATGACCTTGTTGATGCAATTTTTAATCCTAGTGAAGACCTCATTGGACTTGAGGATGTCGCGTACTTGAACATTCCTCTACGAAAATTAGTTATGGAAACTAACAACTTCAGTAAAGAATACGTGATTGCAAAGGGTGGATTTGGGTTGGTGTACAAAGCCCAAAGTGAACATGGCACTATCGCAGTAAAGAAGTTGGATCCTAGGTTTGGGCAAGGAGATCGTGAATTCATGATGGAGATTGCAATGCTTTCAGCTTATACACATAAAAATCTCGTCTCTCTTGTTGGATTTTGCAACGAGGGCGATGAGAAAATCCTTGTTTATAAGTATGAAAGTAATGGGAGTCTTGACCAACATTTACATAGGAAAGATCTAACCTGGATCCAACGTCTTCGAATTTGCTTAGATGTTGCCCAAGGGTTAAAATATCTTCATGATGATATTGGAACACAGCATAGAATACTCCATCGTGACATGAAGAGTGCAAACATCCTATTAGATGAGAATTTCAGAGCTAAGATTTCCGATTTTGGGTTGTCTAAAATAGCTCTTGCAAATGTGCCGTGTACGATTCTTATCTCTGAAGTTTGTGGCACACCAGGATATTGTGATCCAGAATACTATAAACGTGGTATTCTAACACAAAAATCTGATGTTTACTCTTTTGGGGTAGTCATGTTTGAAGTCTTGTGTGGAAAGCTGGTAGGTGTTTCAAAGCATCTTGATGAGCCGTTTTCAGCAGAATTACCCCAAAGACATTACGAAAAGGGAACCTTAGATAAGATCATTGATTCCAATCTACGAAATCAAATGAGCTCCGCTTCCTTGAATATATTTTCAGCCATTGCTCATCAATGCTTGAAGTGTCGAGGAAGAGATCGCCCAAGAATGAATGTGGTTGTAAAAGAACTAGAGAAAGCTTTGGTTTACCAACAAGTTCTTTTCCTGGAATAATAAGGTTTCACATTCTTAGCGTTTATCACCTTTTTTCTCTTTCATAATAATGCTTATTGTCAACATCAAATTTTATTTTATGGCTTATTCATCTAAACTTAATATTTTTATTTGTTTGCTTTTGTAGGCACCAAGTGGATTTTGTGTTGGAAGTTGCCCTAACTCTGGATGGATGATCACCTGAGACCTACACTTGTAGAGAGAAACCAAGATCAGCTTGTTTGGCGACTGTATGAGGTAGCTAGTTCTATTCTGAGCTAGTTCCGTATGGGATGATATAACTGTAGACTGTCTGAAAGTTCAAATAGCCAAAGTGATTGGTATGGTCGGTGTATATACTGCAGTATGCCTTCCAATTATGGCTTGTTATTCTGAGGAAATTGCAGATACATATAGGATGCACATGTAGCGACATTCACACTAGCTATATATCTTATGCTCTTTGCAATGCTTGCTCATAACATCTTTTATTTATTGTAGATCTTCAACGTGAGATGGAGTGAATCTATTGTTGATGATCGATAATGGAGACCTGATGACGTTGGAGTAGAATTGATCAAAGATATTGAGGATTTGAGACGTTGAAACATAATTTTTTGATGATGATGGTGATATCATGATGTTGAAACAAAATTGATCGGTTAAGATGTGATGCTCAATTATGATGGTATGATATTGATGATATTAGGTTGTTGATGATCTATGGATATAAGATCTGATAAATACTCAACAATTGAGATTTTAGGAAGTCATATATTATTGTTATGATTTAATTAATAACTACAATTATTTATTTAGGAAGTCATATACTATTGTTGGATAAAATTACAAAAATGATCCATGTGGTGTGGTATAATAGGCATCTATAGTCCAACTTCAATAAAATGGACAAAGTTGGTCCTTGTGGTACTTGGATATTACAAACTTGGTCCCTAATTCGTTAACTCTAACTGTAGAGCCGGTTAAATACAGTAAAATTACCTTTATACCCTTATCTTTTTATTTATTTATATATTTGTCTTTTATTAAGATGTCCTATAGTTACAAAAATGGTCCCTCCTACCCATATTACTGTTCATCAGAGTGTCGACACCATTCATCATCTGTTATCGTCTTCAACTAAGAGCATCCACATTGCAAGTAGTATAAGAGTTGAATAGGATGATGATTAGGATTGAATAAAAGTTGAATGGAGTGTGGGTGATGACATGAAGTAGAGTTGAATGGAAGAGTTAAATGATCATTAAATGGTTCAATAGAATGAATAAAGTGGTGATTTGGATCGAATAGGTGTTTAATGGGTTGTGGGTGATGTTGTATAGATGTTTAATGGATGATGTGGCAATCCATTTAACTCTATAGAGTTCAATGGATTGTGGATGCCCTAATCCCAATCCATTTGAAATCATACAAATCATAATCTTGATCATTCATCATCTATGTATGGCAATTTAAATCACATTTCCATCTACCTTCAAATCGAAATCAGTGATCGGCAGATGAATTGGGAGCAAAGCATCACAAAATCAGAGCAATTGATCCAACTAATATCGAAACCACAACTTCAATCTTACTTCGCCAAAATCAATCATTCAAGCAAAGTGTCATAATCATTGACAAATAGCCTAGAACACGATTACCAAAAATTTCTTAGATCAAAATATTGTGTTCAGGGCATAATAGTCGACATTTTTTTTTTTTCAGAACTGAACTTCAACCTAAATGAACAATTAAACAGATTCAATTGTAGACAATAATTTTCAAGACCATTACTATAGATTTAATCAATCATAAGAACAGGATGAAAAATCAATTCTAGTAGTGGGTTTGAATGAAGAACACACTGATGACAAAAAAATCCTAAAAATCGGTTAAATCAATCGAGTATAATCCTTGAACTTTAGTGGATTTCAATCGATTCTGATATGCAAACTTTGAAGCACAAGCCGTGAATGGAAACATTAAGGAATGCAGGCCCAAAAAAAAATATACGAAGAAGAGGATGAAAATTTAGTGAAAACTTGCAATGAACACTAGCGTGATCCATTTTTCTTTTTTATCAATTAAATTTACCAATAAATCAACAAACGAGTAGAATAAATCGATTAAATAGGAACTCAATGAACACAACGGATTCAATGAGCAATAAATAATGATGAACAACAATATTTATTTTAGCAAAAGAAAAAAACAATTATCAAGTCAGATGATGAATGGAATCGATGTGGGAATACCTCATTAATGATTATCCTACGTAAGATGTCACGTGAGCAAAATCTAAAGAAAACTCATCATAAAGACTGAATGCGTATAAAACCAATAATTACTTATTTTGCAATATATATATATTATATAGACACAGACACACAAACTAAGAACTTAAGTTGGAGTAGTCGATCAGATTATAACATGAAATTGCCGGTTATAAATATGAAATGTATACAAAACAACAAATTAAGGAGTTTATTTTACAATTAATAATAACTAGTTGTGAGATCCATGTAATAAATGGGTTAATTTAAAAAAATAATAATTATAAAAGTAAAAATATTGGAGAACTTTAAATTTGTAATAAAATATGAAAAATAATGAATTATTATAATTGAAATGTTTTTTATCTTTTAAATTTAAACAAATAATTTAAATAAATTAAAGAAACTAATAAACTTTAATTTGAGTATTTTAAAATTAAAAGGTAACATAATTAATGAAATTGATATCTATTTGTTATTACATTTATTATAATTATTATATTAAAATATTATGTTGAATTTAATAAAATACAAAACTCATAAAACGACATTGAAAAAAAAATTAATTCAGAATAATCATAAAATTACTTTTAACAAATTAAATAAGAGTGTAACATACGGTATAAAAAACTTTTATTTATTAGAATAAGAAAAGAAGATAAGAAGATTAGAGTAGGTGATAATAATAATAATATATACAAATTAAGAACTGTATTATTTTTTTGGTCGTCTTCCTAAAACTCTAAATTGAGACCCGACTACCCGACCCAGCAAAATACGTTCAAATACACCTACTACTATTTTACTTTCCAATTCCAAGACGCGTATATTCCCCGTTTCATCGTTATATTATTTATTTTCCAAGGCGCGTATGTCGCTTTTCATCTTCTTCACTCAGAAACCGAACTCCACTTAAAGACACTCATGTGTTGGCCGGCGAAGGTTTTGGATGCTTAGATTTGACAATCTAATTTCAACTATAGATTTAATAACTATTAATGGGAGCCAGTAGAAAGCTTCAAAGTGAGATCGATCGAGTTCTAAAAAAAGTTCAAGAAAGTGTTGATATTTTCGACAGTATATGGAACAAGGTATGCGTAAATATTTTTAATCTTCTCTGAATTACGGACGTTTCTGGTTTTTGTGTAATCTGATTGCTGAAGGTTTCATCATTATGTTTGGATTTTCGTATTTTAGGTTTACGATACTGACAATGCCTATCAGAGGGAAAGGTTTGAGGCTGAATTGAAGAAGGAGATTAAGAAACTTCAAAGGTACAGAGACCAGATTAAGACATGGATTCAGTCCAGCGAGATCAAGGATAAGAAGGTCATTTAAGATCCCCCTTCGTATTTCTTTGTTATTGCACTTGAATCGCCATGAACGCGTTGGTTAACCAGTCTAGTTGCCTTATTTCGTCTACCTCCTTCCTCGTAGGTTAGTGCCTCTTATGAGCAGGCTCTGATGGATGCTCGCAAGCTTATTGAGCGAGAAATGGAACGATTCAGGATCTGTGAAAAGGATACAAAGACAAAAGCTTACTCTAAGGAACGCCTGGGACAGCAGCCTAAATGGGTAGCTATTGCCATTTCTTTTAGTCTTTTTGCACATGATACAGAAACTTAATTAGCATACATGGAAATCACCTTTTGTCATTGTAAACTTTATCTTTTGTAGGATTATAAGGAGAAAGCTAAGTCAGAGACTAGAGATTGGTTGAACAATACGGTATGAAACTATGCTAAGGATTTGAAGGCCTATCTTTGCTTTAATGCTTGAAAGTTGGCACTGATTCGTGCTTGTAATTGTTTAGGTGTTTGAGCTGGAATCTCAAATCGATGGATTTGAAGCTGAGATGGAGGGGCTATCTTTAAAGAAAGGAAAAGCATGGCCTCCGAGACTGGTAATATGATGAATACTAGATTCAATTTCTTTAAATTTCACCTCATAATTAATAGACACCATTTCTATAAAATTTACCTTACATTGGATACGTATTTTGTTTCATAGAGACATTTAGAGTCATCAATTGCTAGGCACAAGGCTCATATATTGAAGCTAGAGTTGATATTGAGGCTGCTGGATAATGATGAATTGAGTCCTGAGCTAGTCAATGATGTTAAGGACTTCACTGATGACTATGTGGAACGAAATCAGGTTACATTTTATTTAAATCCTCTCACTTTTTATCAATTGTATCTTTGAGGTTCTCGATGCTTTGTCACCTTTGTCAAATTGAATATGAAGAAGTTTTCAACCAGCATTTAAACCTACCACAAATCGTCTTTACCGCAGGAGGATTTTGATGAGTTTGAGGATGTTGATATGCTATACGACATCCTACAGCTGGATAATATAGAGGCGCTAGAAGATTTTGCTATTAGTGGGACATCTGGCCTCATTAAGGTACATAATTTCTATTGTTGAAAACCCTACATCCAACATCCAAGTTATATATAATTTCATCATCCTCATATATCAGTTACAAATTAACTTACTATACAATTATCTTGTCATAACATCAGAGGAGCCATAATCATCGCCATTTGTCATCAAATTTAATTAAAATTACAATGTACTCTCTCGTTCTTATCAAGTTAGGTAATGCACTAATATTGTACATTAGCCCAACATTAGTTCCAATTTGTGAACGCTATCATTTTCATGCAATGGATTCTTACCTGAGAATTATCCGAACGATTTAAATTTCTTTTTATTCAGGTTGGTGCAAGCATGAACAACATTGAACACAAATTTCAAGCTACAAGTCTCTTTCCGGTAATTGTTCCACTGACAAAAGAAGGAAAACAAAATGGTTATAAGGTAATGCATATTGTTTTTTATTGCTTTATACATATACATATACATATACATATACATATACATATACATATACATATACATATACGGATATGCATACGTTTTTATGGTTTTTAAAGCTTATAATATATTAGTTTTTGGGATGATGACATTGATCACTATAACTTTTTAAGTTTATTATGAATTTTGAAACTTGTACATAAACATATACATACACACATTTGATTTTTATGGATTTTGAAACTTATAATATTGTAGTTTTTTGGGACGATGACATTGACTCTAACTTTTTAAGTTTATGACGGACTTTCATATTGGTTTTTATGGCTTATATAAAATATCTTATAATTTATTATATACAATGCAACATTGAAACCATTTTGTTCCTGTATCACACAGACTTGATAAAACTGAAGCAATAAAATTGAATCACAACCTTTTATTCAGGTCGGTGCAGACATGGACAACATTGAACAGAGATTTCAAGCCACATGTCAAATGCCCGTAGTTATTCCACTGACAGAAGAAGAAAGAAAACAAAATGAATCACAACCTTTTATTCAGGTTGTTGCAAACATGGACAAAGTTGAACAGAGACTTCAAGCTACACATCAGTTGCCAATAGTTGCTCCACTGACAGAAGAAAAAAAACAAATCGAATCACAACCTTTGATTCAAGCTGGCACAAGCATGGACAACACTGAACAAAGACTTCAAGCTACATGTCAGTTGCCAATAATTGTTCCACTTCCACCAGAAGAAGTAATAAAACAAAACGGTTATAAGGTATAACACGCTTATTATCTCATCAACTGATGCATCTCACTAATATGTCTAAAGTTATTATTATAAAATTAATCAGGAAGATATTGCTTAACACCTGTGAGCAATAGTAGAACCGAGTAACTGATAAAACGTCGAACAAATTTGAAAAAAAATAAAAAAAAATCACATTATAGTATAGTGGTAGTTTCCTAACAACAACCTCATTGGACTTCAGGACTTCGATCACTTGAAGATTCCTCACGGGACATTACTTATGGCAACTAACAACTTCAGCAAAGAGTACGTGATTGCGAAGGGTGGATTTGGGTTGGTGTACAAAGCCCAAAATGAACATGGAATTATCGCAGTAAAGAAGTTGGATCCTAGGTTTGGGCAAGGAGAGCGTGAATTCATGATGGAGATAGCAATGCTTTCAGCTTATACACATGAAAACCTTGTTTCTCTTGTTGGATTTTGCGATGAGGGTGATGAGAAAATTCTTGTTTACAAGTATGAAAGTAATGGGAGCCTTGACCAACATTTACGTAGGAAAGATCTAACTTGGATCCAACGTCTTCGAATTTGCTTAGATGTTGCCCAAGGGTTAAAGTATCTTCATAATGATATTGGAACTCAACATAGAATTTTACATCGTGATATGAAGAGCTCAAACATCCTATTAGATGAGAATTTCAGAGCTAAGATTTCCGATTTTGGGTTGTCCAAAGTAGCTCTTGCAAATGTGCCGTGTACGGTTCTTATCTCCAAAGTTTGTGGCACGCCGGGATATGTTGATCCAGAGTACTATAAACATGGCATTCTAACACAAAAATCCGATGTTTACTCTTTTGGGGTGGTGATGTTTGAAGTCTTGTGTGGAAAGCTGGTGGGTGTTTCAAAGCATCTTGATGAACCATTTTCAGCAGAATTACCTCAAATTTGTTACAAAGAGGGAACCTTAGATGTGATCATTGATTGCGATCTACGAAATCAAATGAACTCGGCTTCCTTGTGTACGTTTTCAGCCATTGCTCATCAATGCTTGAAGTGTCGTGGTCGAGATCGCCCAACAATGACTCTGGTTGTGGAAGAACTAAAGAAAGCTTTGGTTTACCAACAAGTTGTTTCCCCAGAATAAGGTTTATAACGTTCTTAGCTTTTATTATCTTTTTTTTCCTTTCATAATGCTTATTGTCAACATCAAGTTTTATTTTATCGAAAACTGCAAAAATGTTCCTTGTGGTGGGAGAATCTAATATTTTATTAGAAGTCATGTTTAATAGTGTGTTCCAAATTACAAGTTCAAATACATTACATATGAATTTTGGGCAAGTATCATAGTCAAGTGGGGTCCAAGCACTCAACTTGGGGAAGTGAGTATCCGCCATTCGGGTGGGTGGGTGGATGTAGTGGGACCTTTCTCATTTTAATGATAGATAGATATTAAAAAAATGTAAAAGTTAAATCAAAGGGTATAATTGTCTTTTTAGTTTGGGATGAGTACAAAGCCACAACAAAATTTGCAATTTCCAAACTTGTTGGACCGTGCCCAAAGAAAAAAGCAAACCATAGGGACCTTTATTTTGTGTCTGTTTCATGTAAAATTTATTTCCTATTTGATTGTTTTTATAGGCATCAAGTGGATTTTTGGTTAGAAGTTTCCCCACTCCCGAAGCTCCTCCATGCCTCGATGCCTACATAGTTGTAGAGGGTAAATATAATCCGCTTGTTTGGCACAGCCATATGGGGGAAATATTGTAAAACGTCCATCTACTATCCTCCACATGATGCAAGAATGATCGCAGCTATGTGGGATCTACCAAGCACTTGAGTGCCATGTGGTATTTGATTATGCTTTGGTTCGGTGGTATCCTTGTTATCTCTAAATGCTCATGGTTTGTTGAACATGTTTCTTGTACTGCGGGTGTTAATTTTGTAACATGTATAAACATCACACAACATATTATACATATAAATTTAACAATTGTAAATAGAAACAAGTTCATAATTAAGTCAACATTGTTCATTGCATTATGATATACAACAAGTACCAAAAAAGCCATTCTCAGACAATTTAAACTTGATAAACATCTCATAAAACTAAAGACAATTGTTACAGTTTCAACAACAAAAGAACCCCCTTTTCCCTTCGAAAACGTACATCACCCGAAATACACCTAATCATTCATTAGATGCTAAAAAATAGGCAACACACCAAAGAAAAACTACTTGTACTTCTTAGCATCTGCACTACTTGGTGGAGCTCATTCATGGACCTGACTAACCGGGAATAACTTCTACAGCTCCTAGACACATCGGGGGACTCAACCATCCTACAAAACACAACTGATTCCACTTCGAGAACAAAACTAGAATCTCCTACCTGGATTGAGATTCAGGATGCCAATACTACTGCTTGGGTACCAGATGCACATATCACCATCTTCAAAATAGCTTCATGAAGCAGTTACAGAGAGAGGATAAGGAAGAAAGAGATGAAGAGGGAAGGAAAGGAAACTCTCTTGGCTTTTTACTTATGCATGAGATGGCTCACAAAGGAAATGATATATATATATATATATATATATATATATATATATATATATATATATATATATATATATATATATATATATATATATATATATATATATATAGGTTTAGGTTCTATGGAAAACAAAAAACCTTAAAAAAAAACCCTAAAAATCATAAAAATGCATAAAAAACATACTTAGAGATCACAAAACTTTTTTTTGAATTTTTTTTATAAAAAATCGCAGCTTTTTATAAAAATTCGCTGAAAAAAAATATAAATTTTTTTTTTTTTTAATTAAAAAAAAGTTTTTTTTTTCCAGCGATTTTCTTTAAAAAGCTGCGATTTCTTCTTAAAAAATGTCAAAAAAAAGTTTTGTGATCTCTAGGTATTTTTTTTATGCATTTTTATGATTTTTAGGGTTTTTTGTTTTCCAAATAACCTTTCCCTATATATATATATATATATATATATATATATATATATATATATATATATATATATATATATATATATATATGAAAAGTGAATATGTGGCTGTCATTTATGTAATATTAGGTATAGAACCATGAAAATTGATTTCATTTTGATTAAAAAAACACATTTTTTTTCATTGTTACCTTTTTCCTATTGCTTTTGAGTTCATATTATTTTTGAGCTCACAATTTATCCCCAACATCTATGTCTTTTCAATGTGTTGTTTATATTAGACCTCTAGTATGGTGCATAACTTTCTTTGACACCTACCATATCCCATATGTATACTTGCATGGTTCTTTTTTATGTGTTATGGGAAGAAGCTTATTGGGTTTTTAATGAACAATTTCATTCTTTCACTATGGTTTGTGGTGAAAAATTAAATATTTAAACTTAATAAAAATATGTAAAAAGCCTATCATCTAGTTTTATAGAGGATACAAGAAAGATGGTAGATATATTTGATTGCATGTTGTTAAAACTATGTAATTATTTATGGTTCTATACCTAATATTAGGTACATCACAACCACATATTCTCTAAGCCATATATATATATATATATATATATATATATATATATATATATATATATATATATATATATATATATATATATATAAAAGAAAAAGTGAATATGTGGTTGTCATGTACCTAACAACAGGCAATCAAATATATCTACCATCTTTCTTGTATCCTCTATAAACTAGATGATAGACTTTTTACATATTTTTATTAAGTTTAAATATTTAATTTTTCACCACAAACCATATACATTATCAACTACCTATATGTCTTCATATTCAAATTAATATAGAAAATTATAGTGAAAGAATGAAATTGTTCATTAAAAACCCAATAAGCTTCTTCCCATAACACATAAAAAAGAACCATGCAAGTATACATATGGGATATGGTAGGTGTCAAAGAATATTATGCACAATACTAGAGGTCTAATATAAACAACACATTCAAAAGACATAGATGTTGGGGATAAATTATGAACTCAAAAATAATATGAACTCAAAAGCAATAGGAAAAAGGTAACAATGAAAAAAAAATGTGTTTTTTTAATCAAAATGAAGTCAATTTTCATGGTTCTATACCTAATATTACATAAATGACAGCCATATATTCACTTTTCCCATAAGGAAAAGTGAATATGTGACTGTCATGTATGTAAGCTTAGGTATAGAACTTCTAATTCTATCGTTGTTTTGATATAAAACTATATGGTTTAAATACAAATTTTGAATTCTAAATATGATCTACTTCCTATTTTTTTCAATTTTAAATATCATATGTTTTCAATTTTTTATATCCGTTATCTTTGATCCTTTTTGTTTCCTCAGCTTATATCTTAAAAGAAATTATTTTTCAATTATTACTCTTACTTTGACATTATTGTATTCCTTTTCTCAATTTCCATCCAAATGAGAAATTTTAGTGTTAATAAATTTTCACATTCAATGGATATTAAAAAGGAAGAAAAACATATATAAATCCATGGGGAAAATGGAATTATATGCCAACAGTTACAGCATAGATATGCCTTTTTTTTTGTTTGGAAGTTAACCAAAATTTACCATGTGTTTAAAAAAATAGACGTAAATTAAGAAAATTATAATTAGCATCAAATTAAAAATGTTTTAAATCAAAATTTTAGCTAAAATTATGTAATTTTGATAGGTTCTATATTTAACTTTACATACATAACAACATATTCACTAACCCCATATATATATATATAGTGGAAAGATCAATAGAAAATTCAGAAACCTAAAAAAACCCTACAAACCCAAAAAAAACTTATAAAAATACATAAAAAAAAAAAATACTTTGAGATATCTATTCTCTTTTTTTTTTTTTTGCTTTTACTTTATAAATAAAAAAATCGTATATATAGCAACATTATCGCTGAAAAAAATTTAAAATAAATTATTTTTTGGGTAAAAGTCACTGTAACCCAACAAACTTACGTGTTTTGGTTTAAAAGGTCCCTCAGCTTATTTTTTTGCCTTCTAAGGGTACGAATTCATGTTTTTAAGATTTAAAAGGTCCTTTTGAAAAAAATGAAGGGGTCATCCGGTGAACCCCTTCCTAGCCAGCAGGTAAAGTCAATTGTTAAAGTCTTCCCTCAATTGACACTGTACATGACTTACAATAACCCTAAATTCAATAGCGGTGACCATGAAATTAACGAAGACTCCATCTGCTTCTCATTTTGTATGAATTACATCACAACAAATCGGAGGTTTAAATCAGAAAAGATAGCATCGGTCTCTCTTCCGATTTCAATCAACATTCTTCACTCTGTTCTTCATCTTTTTTGTTATTGACAGAGTAACCTAATCATAAACATCAAATCTGATCGACGACGGTGTTTGTGTGTGTGTGTCTCAATTTAATAATTGTTATCCAGAAACCAATCGCCACCCTCATTTTCCTTTGTTCACCACCAATTTGTTTAGGTATCAGATTGAATAATCGTCTTCATTAGATCACTAATATATACGAAATGGGGGGCCTTCGTCTTAATTAGATCGGGAAGGGAAATTGATGCGGACGGAAACAGGAAACGATGGGTGATTGTTTGTGGCTGATCAGCGAGCACCGGTCAGGGAAGGAAGATGAAAGTAGTAGGCAGTTGCAGTCTGTCTCCATCTTTAACGATCAGGTAACGAATGTACAGTCGAGGTCGTTAGGGAACTCTGACGTTGGCTGGTGATCGCGAGAAGGGGAGGGCGTCAATCTTCGGCGATGGCTGGGAGGTCATGAGGAGGGGTGTCGGCACTCTAGGGCTGCTCCAGTGACTTCTTTCTTCTTCTGGTCCGATCGACTGCAACATAGGAGGGGACGAAAGGTTCATCGGAAATTGAACAACAACGATTGAGGGGTGGTTGTGAGGAGCTCGATCGAGCAAGGAGTGCTTAGATTAATCCCCAAAGTTGATGACGAGGCAGAAGTCTACTAGGCTCCAAGTATTGCTGACGAGGCTACATGTCATCATTTTCTAACCTATTCGGCAGATCTTACCGGTTATAATGGGTTGTTTACCTAAATTGGCCGGTAAAATACAAGTTGATGCCCTTAGAAATCAAAAAAAAAAAAAAGATGAGGGACCTTTTAAACCAAAACACTTAAGTTTGTTGGGCTACAGTGACATTTACCCTTATTTTTTTAATATTGTTTTAGAAACAAAATTTTCAATTTTTTAGCATATATATATATATATATATATATATATATATATATATATATATATATATATATATATATATATATATATATATATGCAATTTTAATGCTTATAAAGTCCAAAAAAAAGATTAGATATCTCAAAATATTTTTTTCTATGTATTTTTATTGATTTTTTAGGTTTGAGGGTTTCCAAAGATATATGCATTTTCTATTGATTTTTCTCCTCTCTCTCTCTCTCTTTTATATATATATATATATATATATATATATATATATATATATATATATTGTTAGGTGCAATTTGGGCACCTTTTTGCGCACCTTTTAGTCCCATTTCATGCATCTATTTAGCACAATTGTTCTTTCTTTTTCTTGCATTTCATCATATTCATGTTAGTCTTTAGAACAACCTTATTTGCACACCTTTATGTCTTTTTCAGGTAAACCGGAGGTTGGAATGCGCTTTGGGAAGTGCCAGGAAGCATTGGTGAAGATTTCGGGATGATCGGGCGAACAACGAAAAAGTTGGAAAAATCAAGTTTGGATTTGGAGTCAGAGAGGTACACGGGGCGTGTTGAATTTACACTGAAAAAGTGGGCACGGGGCGTGTTTGATCAAAATGGGAGCTGTTGACCATGCTAAACACGGGACGTGTCAGTTTAGTGAAAATCAACACGGGGTGTGTTGTTGAACACGACCCGTTTCAGTTTAGCCTATTTTAACACAGGCCGTGTTCGACCCAAAAACCAACTTTTGGCGGTTTTTCCTATCTTTCATATTACGGGTTGAGGGTCATTTTTACACACACACAACATATCAGAGCACCATTGGAGAGGAGAATTCGAAGGTTTTTGCAAGGGTTTGTCCGTCAATCATTTGGGAACATTAATTCTTGTTTTTGTAAGTTGTAATTACACTTAATTTCATCTTTTAGACTTGTGATCTTGTTCTAGCCATATGTGGCTAGAACCCTAGTTTCTCCAATTTCATGTTTTGACTTCTTGGTAGTGATTTCAATCATATGACATGATGTTTGTTCTTAATTTCCATCTAATGAATTTGATTTTGCTTCAACCGAATGTTTGATTCTAATTGTGATTCTTATTGGCCATTTGAATTAGGGTTAGGTCATTCAAGTTATCTCTTTTACAAAATCCGTAATTGTTTTGTGAAATTGAACAAGTAACAAGCATTAAATTGATCTGTATTGAATGAATTTAGTGTAAATCTT